GGACGGCTGTTTTGGCTGCTATGAGGCGGCCATTAAGGCTGGCTTAAGATTCCTCTTGCATTCGGCTGTTCAAAAAATCTAGGACGGATACCAGGTAGGGCTTTGGCAGTTGGCCCCAAACTCGTGGTCCAACATTCTCGGCTTTGTGGCCGGCTGTGAAATGTATGCGGTTTAACCCAATTTTGCAGCGTTCGCCCAAATGAATTATCTGAGCCGGACCCCAAAAGCAAGCGGTACCGGCTGGTACCAAATTTCCAGCCATAAGGGCTACTTGATGACAAGGGGGAAGGAGAATAAGTGGAAGGACTGGAGGAATACCGTCTTCATTGTTTCTAGCACCAACAAACTTCTTAACAAGATGTACAATATGTGGAACAGGGATCCACCTCTCCTCGCAGGCGGCTCTAGCCTGCCGCCTGTCCGTCCTAAAGCCAAGGAGGAGATCCTTGATCAGGGTCTCTTCAAAGTGGAGATCAGAGCTAACTCTACTACAGGGGTACTAGAGTTGATCCCCTTAAACTGCATACCCAAATTCAATTGGCTGTATGACGAGTATTTCTTGGCCGCCTGTGGCCTTAGTGAACGGACCCCTAGAGGTAGCAAGCCCCTTTTTATGCTTTCGCGTTTTTAGTTTTGCTTGAATTTTTACCAACTCTAAGTTGCCTTTGCAGACAAAGCCATGAACAAGATCTCTGCTTCCAAGAAGGCGGCCGCCCTTCTTCGCGCGACTATAATTAACCAGTAGCGGCCTTCTACAGACTCTCCCTCAAAGGAGACGTCCAAGGTGAGCCTTCAATAACTTGTCATGCTCTTTGCATTACTTTTCTTCTTCTTTTCCTTTATTTTTTTTTTATGATCTTGACTTCTTGTTGCAGGGTGGGGCACTAAAACCCTCTCCCTCGGAGCAACCAAACCCCAAGGTTCGAAAGCAGAATGCTAGGAGTACGCCTTGTTCTTCCAAGAAACAGCTGTCTGATAAAAAGGCGCGGACCCCCCAAAGTGAGGCGAAACAAACAACCGTCCCTAGGGACACCCGGCCTCCAAGAGGTATAACTGATTTCTTGGATTACCTTATCAATTTAACATTCTTAGATCAGGCGGCCTGTTGCTTTCCTCTTATCTGATAAGTTTTCCATTCTTCTGATTGCAGGCGGCCATCAGGAGCGGGACTTGGTCTAGATGGCCAAGTCTATGGTCAAGGCCATTCCCTTAGATGAAAGGGAAACGGTCAGGGGAGTCGGTACCCTTGACTAGGACTCTATCATGGGTCTACTCTCTGAGGTAACCTCGATGAATTTTTTTCGTCATTATTAAACAATCATTAGCATTTAAATGTCGCTTGTTTTTTGAAAGATTCTGACGCCTGTTTTGTTGATTTACAGGCCTTACTTCTCATACATGGTCTCCGCCGCCCCATCAACGAAAAGAACAAGGAGGTAAAGGCTGCGAAGGCCATGGCCGCCTCTGATTGTGACCGGGCGATGTTTCAGATTGCCCAGAATGAAATTTTGACAACTGACATTCTGTATTATCAGGCGATTGCCACCTTGCAAGTCAAAGCCAAATTGGAGGCGGCCAAGAAGAAAAACTTGGAGCTGGAGAAGGCGGTCAAGGATCTTCAAGACCAGCTGCACCCGCTTAAACATGCAAAACATGCGGCCGAAGAGCTTAAAAAGTCGAACCAGAAGCTCAAGGAGCGCCTGTCATCCCGGGAGGCGGCCCTGACCAAGCAACTCAGCGCTAAGGCTGATTCTGACAAGATGGCCCTGGCCTAGGATATGATGGAGGACTCTTCGGCCATCATGAAGATGACCTGGACTGCCCTTTTCCCAGACTTAGACTTTAAGCAATGGGAGTCCAAATTCGCCGCCTGCACTGAAGAAGATAACATCAAGATTATGCAGCAGGCGAATGATGAGGATTAAGCGAGGGATGAGGCAGACGGCTCCTCTTCTGAAGGTGAGGATGAAGATGAAGAGGAGGCGGATGCCAACAAGGGGAAGACTGATAAAGAGAAGGAAAACGCCAACCAAGGACAGGCGCCAGCTAATGAGCCACAAGAAAGTGTGCTTGAGAAGCAGGCGCCCATTGCTGAAGCTGATCAAGCGGCCGCCGTTACTGTGACCCCTCTCAACAATGCTTAAGCTGCTTATTTTTTCAACTCTTCTTTGCCCTGCGAGCCGTTTGTTCTTGTATCTTTTTACCCGACCAAGGGGTCAGGGTATATGAATATTTTTTCCGGTCTCTGTGGTCGGTTGTTTATATATGAATGTGACGATTGTTTGGTCGTCTTGTCCATCAATCTTTATTTTATCATTTCAATTTGCAAAATCTTTTTACCAAGTATAAAATGTCTTCAATAGCCGCTTGTTTACCATACCGACTATTCTTACTTGTGGTCTTTCTTTTTGCATCAAATTTTGCCATTTGAATGTTTGGATGTTGCCAAGTATAGAAGTCCTAGTGGGCATTGCAACCGACTGATATTGTTGCCCCTGGCTGGCTGATTGGTTCTCAAATAGTCAGCCGGTCATGAGTTCAGTCGGCTTCCCTTAAAAGATTGGGATAGCAGACTTTCCAAACTTGGATTATTTTAGGGACATTACCCAGGCCTCCTGTTGGACGCACTTGGGCACAGGCGGTTGTCTTTAAGGCTTTGAGGAACAGTCGTCCTCTTTCAGTAGACCTAGGTGGCTGGGCGCCTATTTTTTATTTAATTGTTTTCCAAGTTTGGAGGAAACAGGCTGTCAGTAAATGGGACGCCTGGTTAGAGTAGCTACGCCTGTATTGGTTACAGGCAGTAACTTCTCTCAGATCTAGTAGGAATAGTGGTCGAGGGCCCCTGTTTGCCAAAAAACAGGCGGACCTCTCATGCCTCATAGGTTCCGTACTAGAGAGGGCGACTGGTTAACCTTGGGGTTAGTCAATCACCGCCACTTTGGTTTACGTAGTAGGAAACCCGGCGGCGGAGGCCGGCTAGTCCCCTCAATTCGCCAAGTTTTGTTTGGCTATTAACTCAAAGGTTGTTAACCTAATAGGAATAGTGGTTTGAGTACCTCTGTTTGCTAGAAAACAGGCGGACAACTCATACCTTTTAGGTTCCATACTAAGTTTGAGAGTGTGACTATGAGTTAACATTGGAGTTTACTCAGTCCCCGTCACTCTAGCTTGAGTAGTAGAGGTACTAAGCGACGGAGGCCGGCTGGTCCCCTTGATTAACTAATGTTTGTTGGCTATTAACTCAAGAGGTACCGCCTGCATTTATCCCAAGTAATGTCAGGCGGTCATCCGACTCAGATGTCAATTGCCACCACTGGCTCGGTTAGTGGTAATTATCCTTGTCTCAGTTGTGAACGGCTACGTGGTTGTCCTTAGGGATAGTCGTTTAGGGGTCGTGTGTTTAGTTTATAGAGCATTATTCCACCCAAAAGGGAGCTGCTCTCTGCGACGAATCTCATCCGGAGGGATGTCGCCGGACGCCTGCTATGATGTTGGGACAGGTCGTATTAGTTTAATTTTTAGGAGAGGATCAGTCGGCCTAGTGCTTGGGCTGATAACCCGGCCATTGGCCTAGTTTTGTTCATGGTGAACATAGATGCTAAGTTACCTTAGTCTTGGGAGTATAGGACAGTAGCCGTCTGTTTTAGGTTTAGGTGGCGTGCCTCTTAGTAAGAAATCACATTGGAAAGTAGCCGACTGCAAATGTACAAGCGGCATGGCCTTCTAATAAAGTAAAATACACATTTTGAGAGTAGCCGCCTGTAAATGTACAGGTGGCATGCCCCTCTACTGACCACAAAGAATTGAGAATAATTGCATGTTTTTATTATTAACCATTGTACAATTACATCATTCAGAAGTAATACTTCTTCAAATTGTCTACATTCCATGTTGTAGGTAGGAGCCGGCCGTCTGGTGTTTCTAGGCGATAGGTGTTGTCTCTAACCTCTTCATAGATCCGGTAAGGTCCTTCCCAGTTGGGAGTTAGCTTTCCCAACTCATTAGCCCTACCGACTGCTTTCCCAACTATTTCTCCAAGCTTTCTCAACGAAGGATCGAGTGATGAACTTAAGTTAGCTCCCTTATGCTTAATTGACTTGAAATGCCATGAGAATAGGAATTTCCGGTCAAGGGAATGTTTATGTCATCGTGATTATGCTTTAACACTTGTTTTATGCTTTATAACCACGAGAGTAGGTTGTATTCATGATTCAAGTAATCCCTCTAGCTTGAGAGAGTAGTTGGGTGCCTTAGATGACTTCCCCTAATTTATCTCCGTAATTTACCTTGATTGTTGCATGCTAATCGTGATTTGTGATGAAGTTGAGTGGTATAACTCGAGCCCTAGAATCCTCTTAATATTGTTAATCCCCCCTTAGCTTTTAGTTGCATTGAACTAGTAAAAGTTACTTGAAACTCAACCAATTAAGACTTCATTTAGCTTGTTTAAACGATAGTATCTCGGTGGTTGATTCAACGCCTCTCTTGGGTTCGACCCTTTCTTACCCTTGCTATTAGTTAGTGAGACCAAGATAGGAATTACCTTTGGTAGGCTCGACGACGGCCTATAATATTTTTGGCGCCGTTGACGGGGAGGCAAAGTCACATTGAATATATTATTATTGAATGAGACTAAATGTGTGTATATGTATAATAGTTTTCTTACCTTAATTATTGTTTATGTGTGTTTAACTTGTGATAGTCATTGCTAACGTTTTTCTTAGCTTTGTTTGTGTTTGCATGACACGAAAGAGTAAGCAATCACCGCTTATTCCCGTTGATCCAGAGCTAAATAAGACCTTGAGAAACGTGAGGAGACTTTTGCACGGCACACCAGAGTTCTCCATTGTATATTCGGATGGAAGAGGTCTTTGGAACCAACGAAGAAGATAACATGGGAGAGAATCCTCCTCCACCTTTGCTACAAGACTACGACCACCCCAACGCATTCCAACTTCGGAGTGGCAAACAATTTGGAGCTTTCACCTCAAATCATCCATATGATTCAAAGCGATCAATTCGGAGGTAGTGCTCATGAGTGTCCTTTTGCTCATTTGGACAACTTTCTTGAGTTGTGTACAACTATCAAGCAAAATAACATTTCGGAAGAGTTTATTCGGATGCACATGTTTCAATTCTCCCTCCGTGATAAAACAAAGCATTGGTTAAGAACGGTTGAAGAGGGATCATTGAGTACTTGGAATGAGGTGACTAGAGCCTTTCTTGGGAAGCATTTCCCTCCCGAGAAAACGGCCGAATTCAGATGGAAGATCACCAATTTCAACCAAGAAACATTGAGTGAAGCATGGGAGCGGTTCAAAGATTACACTAAAATATGCCCTCACCACGGTTTCACCTCATGGATCATAGTGCTAAGCTTCTATGATGGTCTTACTCCTACCTCAAGGGCCAACCTTGATTCGGGAGCCGGAGGTAACCTTAAAAAGCTATTGGTTGATAAGGCCTACAAAATGATTGAGGAAGTTGCCAAGCATTATGCTTATGGGGGTGATAAAAGGCAAAGTCAACACAAGAAGGGCGGTAAGCATGATCTTGAAGCAATAGTTCTTACTGCGTCAAAGGCTGATATGTTAGCTCGAAAGCTAGATCAAGTGAACAATGTGCTCGGTAGCTCCTCCTCACAAGTCATGTCTTGTGAGACTTGTGGAAGAAACGATCACTTTCCATCCTATTGCAACAATATAACGGAGCATGTGGCTTCACTTGGGAGGAATGATCCTTACTCTCAAACTTTTAACCAAGGTTGGAAGAAACATCCAAATTTTGGGTGTAAACAACCCAATCAAGCTCCCCCTCCTCAAAACAATTACAACCAAGCTCCTCCTTACAATCTACCCCCTCCACAACAACAAGCTTCCTATCGCCACCCCAACCAAAGAGACAATGTCCAACAAAGACCCCAATACAATCAAGCCCCTCCTCCTCAAAAATTCAACATTGAATCCATTTTGGAAACCTTCATGACCCAACAAATCAAGATCAATGGGGAAGTTAGTAGCTCAATTCAACAACACCAAGCACACAACAAGATGATTGAAAGTCAATTATCTCAAATTGCACAACAAGTTGGGTGCTCCCCTAACCCTGGTGGTCAATTTCCAAGCACAACGGTAAAGAATCCAATAGAGCATGCGAAATCAATCACCTTGATTTTGGAAGGGGGATATGAAGCTCCAATTATGAGAGAAAATTTTTCCAAAAAGGGAGATGAGGGAGATAGTTGGGTAGATGAAAGTGAGTTTGAAAATGAGGTGAGTGAGGAGGTGAGAGGAAGGTCAAAATTGAGTGATGAGGGTGCCTCAAAGAGAGACGAGGAAGAGTTGAAAAGCCAAGCTCCATTAAAAGCATATGAGCCTCGTGTTCCATTCCCTCATAGAATGATAGAGAAAAATCTAAATAAGAAACTTTCCAAGTTCCTTGATGAAATAAAAGGACTTCAATCAAACATTCCACTTCTTCATGCTTTGTCACAAATGCCTAAATATGCAAAGTTTTTGAAATACATTCTTTCTAACAAGAGTAGGCTTGAGGAGAGTGATTCTATCTCCCTTCCAACCGAGATAAGTGTTATTCCTCAAAATGAGCTTCCCGAGAAGTTTGGTGACCCCGGTAGTTTTGCTATACCGGTGAAGGTTGGGGATCTTGAATAAACAAATGCTTTGTGTGATCTTGGGGCTAGTGTTAACCTTATGCCTCTCTCTATGGCAAAAAGATTGAATCTTGGAGAGATAAGCCCCACCAAAATGTCAATCCAACTAGCCGACCGCTCAATTAGAGTCCCATTGGGAGTCTTAAAGGACATCGTAATTCAAGTGGGGAAAGTTCTTATGCCATGTCATTTTGTAATCATGGAGATGGATGAGGATTTCAAAATTCCTCTCATATTGGGTAGGCCCTTTTTGAAAACCGCGGGTGTTAATATTGACATGAAACAAGCGAGGCTTACCTTACATGTTGGGGATGAAAGAATCTCTTTCTCGTTTCCGGAAACGTTGAATGACCCTATGGTTAAACAAATTCATCGGATTGATGTTTTGGTTAATATTTTAAAAGAAGACATGGAGGAGTCACAAGATGAATTGACTCATGCTTCGGAGGTGAAAAAGCAAGAGAGGGCCAAGAAGAAAAAGAGAAACAAGATCAAGTTGATAAACAAGTTGTTTGGTTGCATTTCTAGTGATGATAGCAATGTGATTATTTTTCCTAAGGAAAATGAGTGTGTGGGAACAATGAGATGGGTCAAGAAGGTGTGCCTTGACCCTCCCTAATTATGGATAGCGCAATGTCGTCAAGCTAGTGACGTTAAAGAAGCGCTTCCAGGAGGCAACCTGAGTATTTTTGTAGTGGATTAACTTAAAAAAATAAAAAATAAAAAATAAAAATAAAAATAAAAAAACAGCACGAAGTTCATGTCTTCCAACAACAACCAACAGGATCAAAGGTACCAAGGAGGTTCAAGCGTGAAGAAGACCCGATCCTTGAGTTAGTCTTCTTTCTCCCTTTTTTTTTATGTGCTTTTATTGCTTAACATTGAGGACATTGTTTATGATAGCTTGGGGGGGAAGTCATTTGCATGCCTTCTTGAAATGTTGGTTTGTTTTGGTTGTTTCATTTCCCTAATATCCAAGGCCCTTAATCCAATTTAGCTTCCCTGAAATTAAATCCAAACCTCTTGTCTTGTGAATATTAGTGTTCCCTCTCTAGTTAGTAATGTGAATATTTTCGCTTTCTCTTCATAAAAAAAATGATGATAAAATTGAAAAATGAAAAAAAAAAAATTGCCCAAGGATGAGACTCAGATGACAATGCTTATATGTTTTTCTTGCTTGACTCTTGAGCGATGAGTACTAGTTCTTTTAGAAGGGTGTATGCAAGAGTTGGGGTCATTTAGAGGCTTATTAATATTGATTGCATTAGTGTATATGAAATGAAAGCCAATGAATGCTCAATTGCACACCTAGTATAGGATATTGTCTAATTCGCTCAAGTAGGATATGTTTGAATTGAATTGCGGTCCCTTGTGCCCTTAATGTGCCTCCTTTCCTCCCCGAAATGAAACTCTATTAGGGAATTGGTTATATTTGTATCATGTGTAATAAGTGGCATAATAAGTCACATGTTCTTAATAAAAGAAAGAGTCGCTCACAGTTAAAAGAGGCAAGAGCATTGAAAGTTGAAAAAAAAAAACAAAAGAGAAGAAAAGAACATAGAACAATGAATAAAAAGGGAGAACAAAAACTCTCTCGAAAATTCTCAAAATTTTCTTCTTTAGAGGTCAACTCGTGGATGCCTCCCACACCTTGTTTACATCATTGTTTCTTGTATTTTCCCTAGTTAGAGTGTAGTTAAGAGGCCTTGGTTGTGCATTTTGGGAGGTGGACTAGCATTTTGAGATTTTAAAACCGAAAAAGGGCTTGTTGAAACTTTGGAATATCTAGGTGTGCTCTAATAAACTAGTAAAAGGTCTAAAGAAGTATCCTAGTGCAATCTCGCTTAGTCCTTCTCTTTACCCCCAACTCATGTGCACATTTGTATGATTGGCAATTCTTGAAAGTCGCTCACTTGTCTTGCTTGCGATTTATATCCCGATGAGTTGACTTGGGTGATAATAACATCAGAATTTGTGTGGTTTAATAGTTTTGTTGTGGTTTGTGTGAGTTGTGGGTAAGCTCATTGGAAACCCTCACGAGATAAAAACTCGTCCTCTAGGGCGACTTAGAGGTTTAAATTGCTTCTCACTTGCGCTAAAAGTGATTGTGGTTGCTACCATGCGGATTAGTGTGTATGTGCATTTTCCTTGTTGCCCCTCCTTGTTTTGATTCTAACAAGTTATTCCCCTTCTTTGGTTTGACATTATTGTTTTTCTCGAGGACGAGAAAAAGCTTAGCTTGGGGGGATTTGATAACTTGTCATCTGGTATGATTTTAGGGTACTTTTGAACCTTGTTTTCGTTATTACTCGGCATTAAAGTTCATCATTTATCCTATATTTATGCAAATTTTGTACCATCCATGCTTCACGGGTTGTTGTGTTTTTTTTTTAATGTAATTTAGCTATTTCTAGTGCTATGGATGTGATCAAGCATGAGAGAGCAAGGATAAGGGCAATCTTGGTTGATAAAGCCATGGAGGAAGGAGGAGTGCCTTAAAGAGAAATGAAAAGCATTTGGAGAGCCTTGAAGGATTGTTTGCGTAAGCGTCAACTTCAGTTGACCATAACTTTTGATCTACTAAACATTTTAAAGTGATTCAAATTGGAGATTAAATTTCGTCTCAAGAGCTTTCCAACGATTGGTCACAAGTCCACTTTTGGCAAGAAATGAAGAAGTTACAACTTCCCGAAGTTAAGCTATCTAGGTAGGGAATTCTGCATGGACGTGCAACAAATTGGCACGTCCGTGCACGGTTGCATGTCCATGCCAAAATCTGCACGTCCGTGCAGACCTTCTCGATTCTTAACAGTAGCTACTGCCTGGCTCTGCACGGCCGTGCCGCTTGGTCTGCACGTCCGTGCCAAATCTGGCACGTCTGTGCAGACTTGCAGTCGAGCCCGATTCTTGTTTTCTCCGTCCTTTTTATTTGGGGGTCTTATAAATACCCCCTTTGAGTTCATTTGTATGGGATATGAATGTTTTTAGAGCTTCCTCTTAGTTTTGCAATCTTAGAACATTAAATTCTCAAATCATTAGTTAGATTCTAATTATTAGCTTGGAAATATTCAGCTTCACTCATTGTAGAAGACAAGTTCCACCGTTGTTGCTCACTTTGAAGCTTCATAGTAACTATTTCTTACTTTTCTCTTCTATTTCTCTCTACTTTGCTGTTAATTACTTGCTTAATTCTTGCATGCTTATATTGTTAATTAGCATAATCCTTAGTTTGAATTTGTTCATGAATTGCTTGAAATTCTTAATTGCTTTAATCTCCATGGATTGTGAGTAGTCTAATTTCTAGGTTTGGGTAAAACCCTCAATGTAGTTACTAATTTCTTGTTGCATGTAATAATTGGTAATTATTGGGTGTTGATTAGTTGAGCTTAAGTGGTATAATTGCTTAGTTCTTGTATATGGCCATTGCTGAAACTATTTATCCAAGCTTTCTCAACAAAGGATCGAGAGATGAACTTGAGTTAGCTCCCTTATGGTTAATTGACTTGAAATGCCATGAGAATAGGAATTTCTGGTCAAGGGAATGTTTATGTCATCGTGATTATGCTTTAACACTTGTTTTATGCTTTATAACCACGAGAGTAGGTTGTATTCATGATTCAAGTAATCCCTTTAGCTTGAGAGATTAGTTGGGTGCCTTAGATAACTTCCCCTAATTTATCCCCTTAATTTACCTTGATTGTTGCATGATAATCGTGATTTGTGATGAAGTTGAGTGGTATAACTCGGGCCCTAGAATCCTCTTAATATTGTTAATCCCCCCTTAGCTTTTACTTGTATTGAACTAGTAGAGGTTACTTGAAACTCAACCAATTTAGACTTCATTTAGCTTGTTTAAACGATAGTATCTCGGTGGTTGATTCAACGCCTCTCTTGGGTTCGACCCTTTCTTACCCTTGCTATTATTTAGTGAGACCAAGATAGGAATTACCTTTGGTAGGCTCGACGACGGCCTATCAATATACCAACCTTAACTCTTGATCCAAGGATCATTAGAGCTTCTTTTTTTACTAACCTTAACTCTTAATTTGAAGATCAATAGAGTGTTTGCCAACTTTAACTCTTGATCTGAAGATCATTAGAGCTTTTTTACCAACCTTAACTCTTGATCCGAAGATCATTAGAGTTTTTATATGGAAACACTCTAGATTTGAAGATCATGAGAGTTTTTGCCAGCTTTAACTCTTGATCCGAAGATCACTAAAGCTAGTTTTGCAGACATAATGTCCAAAGCGTGTGAGTGCGCCTTTCAAAAGTCATGGACTCCAAGAATGGCATCTCTCACTCCGGACAACAGTTTTATGCATAGCCAACCTCAGGCTTTTTTCAAGCAAATTTCAGGCTGTTTTAAGTTGCTGGAATTCTCAAGCGAGGCTGTGGGTGTCGGCTTTGTTCTCTGGCGTCTCAAGCGGCTTCTCAGGCCGTGTTTTATCATTGGTGGTCAACGGCGACCAGTTTCTATATTCAGCGCTCTGCACGTATTTCTATATCTGGTTCAGCCGCTTTCCGGCAACGTGTCAACAAAGTCTATCCCTCTTAAGTGTGTTTTGGTGTTTTCTCGGGTTTTGAATGGTGCTCTTGATAAGGTGCTCTCTTTTCCTGATGACATTTCTTGTTGGGTTTCTTTGTTGGTGTTACCTCTTTGTAATATTAAAACCTTACGCCCGCGGAGTGGTCTCGAGTGTAATTCCGTCAACGTCAAGAACAGAGTATTACTCATGCTATTTGTTCTTGGAGTGCATCGAGTGGTAGTTTGCAGCTTGCGAGGAAACCTTTGTCAGAGGATTCTCCTACTTTGTCAGTGGCTGATGATGAGGACCTTGATTTGGATGGTCATTACACTGCGGCGGTCCGGGTTCTTTCTTCTTCAGGCATTGCATATTAATATGATGCCTCTCTTGCGGATTTACAGTCCAAACACCCTTCTTCGCCAGCTCTATCTTTCCCTAATATACCTATTGTTAACCATCATCTCATTGCCAC